ATGCGTCTACGGCGATACTAATGGGCGCTTGACTGTCCTGGTGAGCAAGCAAGGTTGCTTTAGCGATGTGTTCCTTAACTGTGGAAAATGCTTCACGGGCTATGTCGTCTAAACTAATTGATTTCGCATTTCCACGAAGCTGATCGGTTAACGGTTTCATTAGGGATGCGCATTTAGGTATGAACCGTCTATAGAAACTTACGAGTCCGTTAAAAGTTCGTAAGTGCTTGATCGTGGTCGGTTCTGGGTAATCCAGAATGGCCGCCACTTTGCTCCTAAGGGGTCGGATGCCTTGGGCATCAATGGTGTGTCCTAAGAAGTCTAAGCAGTTAGTTCCGATTTGGCATTTCTGAATGTTGACAGTAATGCCATGCCTTTGAAGTCGATCGAAAACAATGTCCAGATGCTTGAGATGCGATTCTCTGTCCGGACTTGCTATTAGACAGTCATCAACATACGCATGTACGAAGTTGAGACCTCGGAAGACGTCGTCTATAAACCTTTGGAAGGTTTGAGCCGCGTTTCTTAAACCAAAAGGCATTCGTAGAAATTCGTAAAGACCGAAGGGAGTGATGATGGCGGTTTTAGGAATGTCGTCAGTTGCCATCGGGATTTGGTTATAAGCTTTAACCAAGTCGATTTTCGAAAAGACAGTTGTACCTTTCAAGGTAGCTGTCAAATCGTGAATATGAGGCAGCGGGTAACGATCGGGAATGGTTTTAGCATTCAGGCGCCGATAATCACCAGTTGGCCGCCAATCATTGCTGTCCTTTTTAGGGACCATGTGCAATGGGGATGCCCATGGACTATTCGATGGTCGAATTATTCCTAGGTCCATCATGTGGTTGAATTCGTTTTTAGCTAACCTAAGTTTTTCGGGAGCGAGTCTTCGGGCTTTCGAAAATACAGGTGGTCCTGTAGTCGAGATGTGATGTGTAACATTGCTGGTTACACAAGGTAATTTCGATTGCGATTGGTATATCCCGGGGTATTTGTCGAGTACTGCTTGGTACAAGGGGTCTATGGCGTGCTTAATCGTGACTGGGGATAACCTGCAACCAGAACAAGGAGTTACGCAAACGGACAACTTAGTGTTTCCGTCTATTAACCTTCGTGAGCGTGTGTCGATGAGTAGATTGTGGTGTTGTAACAGGTCAATACCAATGATTGGCATAGAGACATCTGCAACCACGAAAATCCAGTGTGTGGGTTTACGTAAACCCACGTTAAGGTAGACGTACCTTTTACCGTAAGTAGCGATCGGCTTTCCGTTTGCCGCCTGTAAACTTAAAACAGACTCGCGAAGTCTGTCGTCGAGATTTGCTGGAAGAACGCTAACTTCTGCGCCAGTGTCGACGAGGTAGCGAACTTTCGTAGTCACATCCGTGACATATAAGAGGCGGCTGTGTTCGCCGGCTACGGTTGCCGTTAACGCGTGCCGGCTGGGAAGTTTGCCGAACTGTTTTTCGTGTCACTCGATTTTGGGGTCGGATAATTACAAGGTTTCCTGCAGTTTCTGGAAAACTTACCGTACTGGTTATGATACCAGCACCAGTCGGGATTGTCTGTCTCTCGTGGTCGAGAGCCAGATCGCTTACGTGAGGCGCTTCTACGCGGGGTTTTTGACAGACTACGGTCATTGCGAACTCTAAGATATCGTGTAAGCGTGTGACATAGTTCGGCCATGTCAGTCGAAGTCGATTGGGGTTTTTCTTTGATGGAAAAAACCTCGGCCTTAGAAGATCTGGTGATTTCCAAGATTCGATCGGCAGATGCAGCTAGTTCATCAATGGCATTGTTTTGAAATGAAACAAGCACTGCCTGCACCTGTTGAGGGAGTTTAGACAAGAAAAGTTGTCTAAATAGGCCATCATCGAAAGTTCGTTGGCCGATGACTTCTCTCATTCTAAGCAACATGTCCGTCGCAGAACCATGTTGCAAGTCGATATTGTTAAGGAGTTGGTCTAACCGTTGTCGATCAGTTAGGTCTCCTCGTTTTAAAATCGATAGCTTAAGCGATTCGTAAGGTTCGGAAACATCACTAATAAACATACTAGGTGTTACGTACCTGTTAAACTCGCGCGGTAACGCCTTAACTACCGCGAGGAAACGTGTGCGCGAGTCCGTGATTCCGTGCATGCAAAAATCGGCTTCTGCATAGCAGAACCAGGACTCGATATTGTCGGGCCAAAATGGCGTTAACTGAATCGAAATAAGGGGAATAGACTTTAACTTAAAGACCTTGGGTGAGTGTTCCGTCATAGTAATATAGCTAACGAAGATGTCTAATTAAAATATATCCGGAAAAAAAAATTCGCGAAAAAAGTATATCACAATATATAAAATTCAAATAAAGAATAACAATGAATAATAATATTCCAAAATGGAACTGACTCACAGTATATTGACTTGATGTACCAGATCACGTCGGTCTCACCAATGATGATGCAACGGATATTCTAGTTTTACAACTAGATACCAGTAGCACCTTCTAAATTCGGTTGTTCCCAGTCAGATAGAAATCAGAAGTCGGACGAGAATAGGCAGGAAAGATATATTTGATTCGTTACCAATATATCGAGGACCTTTTCTATGAGCTGGCTAATGAAACGTAGGAGCTGTGTCCCACGCAGTATTGAAACGTGATCTGGTGCGGATGCATGACCGAAAGCCTTCAGCTAAACAAGTCCACTTAAACAACGTGGTCAGCATCCAATGTCGAACACTTAATGAGCTATTGATTTTGGGGAATTATTTACAGCTACAAAACCATTGATATTTAGAATTTGCATCATGGACTTTCCAACAATATCCTCCCCCACGAAATAATGTTGGGTCCTTACGTCGCAATGTTTTAGCCAATATGACGTTCCCAATTTGCATTATCTTCTCAAATCTTACGCATCGACTACTGTATGTGAGTATTTGGGGATAAACACTGATATATAATTTGAGGTATTCCATCATGTGACTTTGACTTGAATAAAAATCATGATACATATTCTTTTTGTTATTCATATTAGAATACACAGATGGATATGCATTGATATATGTAATTAACACATGTGATTCAATTAGGCTTGATTTACCTGCGAAACAATCGAATAGAAAACATTCATCTGCCTCATATTCATTAGGATAATCTTGGACTTGATTTGGATTCTCTATCTGTGCAAACTTCACTTCTGGACAAGCTGGTTCTCTGATTATTTCGGTAAATTTTGCTATCCCCTCTGATTCATTATACCCCTGACTAGGGATTCTATTCAACATGCATTGTTCGTGAGAGTATCCAACATATGACACAATAACATCAGAAATATGACTACAATTCAACTCATAAGAAACATATTTGTCACATTCATGAGGAATATCGTTAGACATAAATTCATTGTGAGGACCACTGACACTTGATATGATACCAGAATTCGATTCTTCTGAAATATTTTCCTCAAATTGATTAAGAGTTCCATTAGGTAATGGATCATCAGGGAATTCAACACCTACAATGATTGAATTTGGTTTTTGATCATGATTTGACTCATTTAACATTCTATTTTCAGAGTTGTAAGAAATTCCATCAGAAGTATGTGAATTATTACGACAAACCATATCTGGTTCAATATCATGAGAAATCCGATAAGTTTGTTGGTTAAAAATTTTTGTCTCACAATGATTCTGAGTTTCATTTAACTCCGGACTGCTATGTGACGTTATACCACTTCTAAATAAAGAAAACTAATCATTAGAAGCATCCATCTTAGCATTACTTTCAGCGAAATGAACCATGGTATTACAAACTGACAGAATGTGTCCAGTTATACCACATTTAAAGCATTTAGAATTACGAAATATACATGAATTACATGGGTGAAACTTGCCGCAGAACATGCATTTACTAAACTCGTGCTCATCATCATGGACTGTTTCACAACTCAATGAAGTATTATCTGAATAACTTTCATTACGCATCGAACTACGACGACTATTTGAGTAAGTGGAATTCCTGATGTTCTGACGGGTCATTTTATCGGATTTTCCTTTCTTACCGCATTCGGAATTTGTATAATTTACATGATCCAACAGCAGTTGCTTGAGAGTTGCATAGGGGAGTGAAATCGGTTTGTCTGGAAGTGCCAAAATCTTTATAAGGCTGTATGCTTCTTTCCCGATGAATGTAAGGAAATGGGCCACAATATTAAAATCCTCATCATCGATGATGAGGAAGGAAGATCTTCCTTGGTCATCGCCCAGATTTCGAACCTTTCCATGTACTCCTCAAAAGCGTTAAAACCTGAATTTATATCCAACAGTTCCATTACAGGCTCAATCGCGACGCCAATATGATAATCAGGAGTATTTGAATTGTAGTATGAACTAGTAATCCCCGGAATAACGCAATGTAGTCAAGAAGTATTAGATGAGCCCAACGAATGCATTGTATTTAGAATTCAAAATTACAACAGTCATCAATACGAAGAAGTCATTGATTTATTTAAACACCACAGTGCGTGAGTTTGTTATCCCGTGCCCAAAAAAGTCAGCTTCTGCGTAGCAGAACCAGGCTTCCATATTGTCCGACCAAAAAGGCGTTAACTGAATCCAGGGTGGGGGAATAGTCTTTAACTTAAATAATTTTGGTGTCTGTTCCGAATAGTATTATAAAGGACGAAAAATATATAATTAAAGTATATCCGAAAGATCTTCCAAGCAGGTCTCAAAATTGTCGTTACGATAAAATAATATCACTAAAGATTTATCATAAATCATTCATAATTACGATGGTGTGTATTTCGTTACTTGAAGGATGGGTGTTATCGGAAAGAGTGTGGCTAAACCAAAATCAAACCCAAAACTGTCTTGATTTGACCGCTTTCACTAAACCTTACAAATTGTCGAGGTGACGCACCAATCGTTGTAAGACAGTTTGACCTTCAAGAGCTCAGTAACCTCTGTCAGCAGACGACACCGCTGGGTCGTTGCCTCACATCAACCGCCAAATGAATCTAGCGTATCTTGATGGTTAGTTCTCCTGAACTTACGTTTTTAACTGTTGATGTCAAAACTAGTCTATATAGGTTCTCAAAACAAACTAAAGCCAGTATTTGTATCGAAATTTTCTTAAATTATAGGGGTTTTAAATACACTTCAGTAATAAGGATAGGAAGTCTATTGACCTATATTAATCCCTGTAGTTTGTTAAACTGTGGATGTTCGATCTCGTTTTGAATATATCAACAGAAGGTGCTGATATTACGTGTTCTGGTACAGAATTCCAGTAATTCACTACTCCGTGTGAGAAACGAAACTCCAGACATAGACAATTTGATCTCGGTCTTTGAACTTTCTTCGAATGTCCTATCAGATCATTAGTCCTATATGGAAAGAAAAGATAAGATGTATTAATACCAAAATTATCGTTCAGGGTACGATAACCCAATATTATACCACACTGTAATCTATGGTATGATAACGGGAATAAGTTGGGTTTCAATCCGTCTTCAGTTTCAGTTTGGAAAGGACAGGAGGCTTGATGGCCTGTGTTAGTCCTGGCAATGATAAGATAGGTCAGATAGACTTTTTACTATTTTAGTCATTTGGCGCTGAACTTGTTCTAACAAATTCGCCTCATATTTGAAACAAGGACTCGCTGCTTGAATCCCATATTCCAAATGTGGTCTCACGAAAGTCGGGTATAAAAATCTAAACATTTCCTCATCTGAATACTGGAAAGACCTGCGAATAGACCATAACACCTATAGCCTTTTGCAGCAGCAGCAGCAGCCTTACGGTGACTGGTGGTTTTGAGATCACTGCTTAGTATGACTCCTAAATCTTTATAGTTTCTTACCTTGGGTGACACGAATCCAATTCAACTAAGTCATAATTCTAATTCCTCAAGCCTCCAAATGCCCTGGTACGGCCGAGAGTGGGGAGAGTCCACTTTCCCTCTCGAAATGCTCTCACATGGCCACGCGAATATATAGCCTCTGACAGGGAAGTCCTACTCACTGCCTTCTCGTGGCGGGCGTGTTGTTTACGAAAGTGAGAGGACGAAAAGCGAATGTCCGGCGCTTTATCCGGGTTTGTGGACACGGCAAGTCCACCTAGGGGAGTTGGAAAACCCTGATTCCAAACGAATGGTGTACATGAGCTCCAGTATCCTAAGGAAACAAATGGCGTATGAACCTGCTGTTGGTCACCGGCTACCATGGGACTGCATTTCCTTACGATGCTCCACTGCCTTGTGGACCAGACCTTAGGGTCAAAGGCTCTGAGTGTAGACCCTAAGAAAACCACCTGCTTCCGTTTGGGCACCTAGGCGGTATCAGTGCCCTCACACAAATCGAATGAGATTTGTACGGCGCATATGTATCTGGTGCTTCCTTGTACCAATATTTGTGTTTAAATAAATGAATAATAAAAATACCATGTATGGTATAAACGAAGATGTAACTGGACTAAACTTGCCTTTAAATATAGACTATGTTTCTTCAACTGATGAGCTAGTATCTACTGACCAATCTATCATAACAGCACACTCCTGAATGGCTTATATATTAGGCTCTTCATATATTTAGGCGAGGCTTAACCTGACCTTATGTCACTAGCTCTACACGTCAATGACAAAACAAATAATACTATTACTTCCTTAGGTGAAACCAACGATAAATTTTTAGTAGCCCAAATAAATTGTCCACTCAAAGTTCGGGTCAGTTTAGCAAACAAGTTGGCTGTTTAAATCTAGTCATTTGACTTCGGTCGTCTTGTTAACATTCATATACGTCACCTCAACGTTAGAGGAAATAGGCTAATAAAAGTGACTAAAACAGATTCACATTTGTGTAGCGAAGACAGAAGGCCTATGGTCTATGTTATTCCTTTTCTAACATGATTCTATGAGTGTCCAGTCTTTTAAATGAGACAATTAAAGATGCAGACACGACTGATACGGGCTCCCAGGAGTCGATTACTTGGTAAAAAGATCCTCATGCCATGAATATTTTGATCGTTTTTGGCTTTTCTACTTGTCTGCTATTTCCTCTGAGATGCCCGTTCTGTTAGGAAGAAGAAAGTATATATTTGGTCCAAAACCATTTCTTAGTATTCTACACATCAAAATTAGATCGCCTCTTCATCTGCGATAGGACAGAGTAAAGAGGTCTAGCTTTTCAAGCCGCTCTTTGCATCATAAACCTCGGAGCTCTGAAATTGCACGGGTAGCTGCCCTTTGTATTTTTTCCAGGATATTAAACAGGGGCTTGCAGCCTGAACTCAGTTCTCAATCTTAGTTCTCACTAAGGTTGTGTATACTGTAGAAAACATGGTAGTATCTTAGTTGGTGAATGTCCATCTTAAAGCATATGAGCAGTGGTCTTAAGATCATGACTCACTGTCACCCCAAGATCCTTGGGAGACTAGACCGCGGGTACAGGCACTTCCCCCATGTTGTACCTATCTTTTTTTGTATTCCTAGAGTGCATGTAGACACTGCCGCGTTGATAGGCATCAACCACTTTTCAGACCAGTTAATCACAACGTTTAAGTCTGCCTGAAATGCACATGCACCTGCGTCTCCCGTTATTTCTCACCAGATTTTACATCGTCAGCGTATAATAACATTGGAGACTCTACTATACTTGGGAGATCATTTACATACAGTATAAAAAGACTCAGGACAGAATCTTGCTGTACTCCACTCAGTACTGGTCTCCAGGTGCAGCACTTCGAATTTATTCTTACTTTATGTTTACTACCTACTAGGAAATCCTTAGGCCATTTTAAGAGAGGTCCGGCAATACCATGATTTTCTAGCTTCAAGAGTAGTCTGTTTGTTGGCATCTTGTTTCAAATGCTTTGCTGAAGTCTATGCAGGCCACACCCACTGATTTTCCGTTGTCTAAAACTTTTGTGAGGTTAGATGCAGGGTATTAGGGAATGATGGTAAATCAGTTGATGAGGTCATGAATCTTCATCGACCGAGATGATTGGGCCACGTGTTACGTATGCCTGAACACTGGTTACCACGACGCGCAATGCTGACTAGTGTAGGGGATGGTTGGAAGAGAGTTAGGGGCGGTCAATCCAAAACGTGGCATCAGTGCTTGAAATCACTAACTTCTAGTCTGAGCCATGTTGGTAGATGCAGACTACTTGGTTGGGGTCCGCGTTACTATCGTAACCAATGGTTAGAGACTCTGTGTGACATAGCTCAGAATCGATCACAATGACGTAGGTGTATACACTCTTTATCTTCCCTTAAACCACGAGATTAAAATTGCTTTATATCTGTCTTTCTTCATGTATATATCCTGATATACAATCTTTCTATGTTATGTTACCATCACTAAATTAACTACTTCTATGAATTTGGTGTTCATCTTGATGTGCTAATGAGGTATGGCAACTTGGACCGATGCATATATGTGCCTGGTCCTATGTTGTAGATGACTGATTGACTTGTCCAATGCTCCCTTACTATAAGTAGGTTTTTTTGTGCTAGATAAACCTTTTCTAAAACCATGTCCGCTGTTTAACAAGTTGTTGGTTTCCACAAATGTCATTACGGTCTTTTTGACTATTATTTCCAGTATTTTAACTACGACACTGGTGAGGCTGACAGTTTTGTAGTGCGATGGTAGTTGTCTCGATCCTGTTTTATCTATGGAAGTGACGATTTCATCCTTCCAGTCCGTGGGTAACACACCTTGGTCAAATGGCATGCTGAATATCACAGTCAGTGGGGCTGTGATATATTGTGCAACACGTTTCAGGATTTTGGGGTGTAATTCATCCGGTCCTGTTGACTTTTCCATGTCTAAGGCGCTAAGACCCTTAAGTACATTGTCTTGATCAAAGTTCACGGTGAGCAGAAGATTTGTTGACTTTATATTTGGGTTTAGTTTTTCGTCTAGATGAGGTTACTGAGTGAAAACTGACCCACAATAGTTTGCCATAGCCTCTGCTTTTTCTTGATCGTCCTCTAATAATTCAGATCTTCGTCCTCGTTGAGGCTGTTCAGGGTATAAATGGTTGAGTTACTTGGTTGTATAACTGTCTGAAATGTGTCAATGCCTCTACTGATGCCTTTGAGTCAGTTTCCAATCCTTCAGCCGATGCTGCAGAGTTGGTTGCCTTTATGTCTGCCTTTCATATGTCAGGACAGGCCGGCACAACTGTTTGACAGGCTATCGCAGCCACGAATTTGAATATAAATGCATGGTCACTTCTCCCTAGAGGTGGCAGGAAAGTCATTTGACCGACGTTGTCACCGTGTGTGAAAACTAAGTTCGAGAGGGACGAGGGGCTTCGTAGGTCATATCTGTTCAAATTTGAGTAAAAAATATCTATGACAATTTCACCCCCACCTTGTTGCTTAGTGTCCGTTTAGTTTCCTTAATTTGTTTGAATTATTTACTTTTCATACAGATGTCTGTTTTGCGTAAAAGCTTTTTAACAGTTTGTTATTTTAAATAGACAAGGATGAATGTAATGATATCTCTATTGGTATCGATATCTCGGAGGATTACACTCAGACAAACAATGTCTCTGATGATTCACTCATTAAAATGAGAGCACAGTGGACTGAAGAATTAAAGCAAGTATGTGAGGTTTTTTTACCACCAAAAAATATTAGTATGTTTATAAGATGAACGTTTCGTGTTGTGGAGCTTCATTGCTTACCAACTTCGTCCTCAACCATATGATCACCTGTCCAAACTATGCCACTCTTCGTTTTTAGAGTGGTTGACCACAAAATATATATATCTTCCAGTCTTAAGTATGAATGTAGTTTCTACTTAGTCCGGCGAAACTATAATTTATGGACGAACCAGTCAAATATAAGATAACAGGTCTCAGATTTTGGCGCGAAATTCACCCATCCATTTGGCTACATAGGATTTTGACATTATATCTGTTATCAGTTCGTGATGAAAATCCTAAATCTAATTCCTAACCCTGACCATCAACTAAGTCATAATTCTAATTCCTCAAGCCTCCAAATGCCCTGGTACGGCCGAGAGTAGGGAGAGTCCACTTTCCCTCTCGAAATGCTCTCACATGGCCACGCGAATATATAGCCTCTGCCAGGGAAGTCCTACTCACTGCCTTCTCGTGGCGGGCGTGTTGTTTACAAAAGTGAGAGGACGAAAAGCGAATGTCCGGCGCTTTATCCGGGTTGGTGGACACGGAGGGTCCACCTAGGGGAGTTGGAAAACCCTGATTCCAAACGAACGGTGTACATGAGCTACAGTATCCTAAGGAAACAAATGGCGTATGAACCTGCTGTTGGTCACCGGCTACCATGGGACTGCATCTCCTCACGATGCTCCACTGCCCTGTGGATCAGACCTTTAGGTCAAAGGCTCGGGGTGTGGCCTCCTAAGGAAACCACCTGCTCCGTTTTGGGTACCCGGGCAGTATCACAGCCCACACACAAATAAATAAAATGATGAATTCTATTGACGATACTATTCTCGCTCATTCTAGAAGCAAGACAATTTACATTATTATTATTATTACCATTATTATTACTATTATTATTATTATTATTATTATTATTATTGTTATTATTATTACTATTATTTAGTAATTCGCTCCCTTTATTTCACTCCCTTTATTCCCAAGTTGTGTATCCTTCCTTTCCAACTTATGCAGCAGCTCGCCCATTGTGGAAACTCTGTCCTATCTAAACGATCTCCAGTCACTGTTTGTTTGAAAGTGAATGCTTCCACCGATTACGAATACTGAAGCAGTCTTTCTGAAACCACGTACGCCGTTCAAGCTGGCTTCCTTCAACGTTCGCACACTAATACAGATCAGACAACAGATAGGGCTGGCTATGTCTTCGGGAGGTCTTAATGTTGACGTTTGTTGTCTATCCGAGACCCGTATTCAAGACTCTAGTGAAGTACTACAAATTCGTTCTCCATCTGTCGCCTCGAAAAGCTTGTTTCACGTGCGCTTATCCGGGGACCCTGTGGCATCTTCGTCTGGTCTTGCTGGCGTTGGTGTCGCACTAAGCGCTAGAGCTGAGGCACCACTAATCGATTGGATCCCCATTAACAGTCGGTTATGTGCTGTTAGATTAGAAAGTTCCATCAAAGTGAGAAGAAATCGACGTGAGAATCGGTGTCTTTTCGTCATCTCCGCCTATGCCCCGACAGATTGCAGCCCGGATGCAATCAAGGATGAGTTTTACCATCAGTTAACAGTTCTTCTCCAGGAAGCGCGTTCGACAGATATTGTAGTACTAGCCGGAGACTTGAATGCACAGGTCGGTCGTCTAGGTGGCCGATGGAGACTTGTTGGTTGCAGGACAGATAACGGGGACCGTTTGCTGCAACTGTGCACAGACCACAACCTGTTTCTGGCCAGCACTAACTCCCGGCACAGTCATCACCGGTGTGCTACCTGGCGTCCTCCCTCTGCATCCCAAGCCTGGACTCAGATTGATCACATAGCGATCAGCTACCGCTGGCGTGGTTGTGTACAAGACTGCCGCTCCTTTTGGAGTACTTATCTGGAGTCTGATCATGCCCTGATCTGCGCCAATCTCACCTTACTTTTCAGTGGCCGAAGGATTGACCACCACCAACGGATCGATGTTAGTAAACTGGCTGCAACTTCTGTTGCAAGTAAGTATCGAGCGGAGCTAGCTTCTAGACTAGTTACCATCCCACCGAAAAGTATAGATGAGCATTGGTTGCATCTCCACGACGCCATGAAAATGGCGAGTAAAGCCGCTTGCGGCTTCGCGAAACGTCCCGCTTACAAGCACTGGGTTTCTTCTGGCTCCTTACAACTGATGGAAGCCCGTCGGTGTACTCCGGGTGACCGTGAGTTTGACTACAAACGAATGCTGTTACGTAATGAAATTGGGTAAGGCTTGCGTAAGGACCGAGAAGCCTGGTGATCGAAGCGTGCTAATGAGATGGAAGCAGCAGCTGCATCTGGTAACTGCCGGAAGCTCTTCCAACTCATCCGAGCCACTGGCAGCAAGAAGTCTGGTGTGAGTGAAACAATGTACGAGGATGATGGGATGCCAATCACTAACATCTCTCGACGTCTTGGACGATGGGCGGAATTTTTCGAAGGGCAGTTCAACTGGCCTGCTGCTCCGGCAACATCAACCAGTTTGTCCTGCCCCCCATGGCCGGTGACGACTGATCCACCAAACGAGGCGGAGGTCCGCAAGGAACTCCAACTCTTGAAACGTTACAAATCACCGGGCCCAGATGACTTACCTCCGGCTCTTTTTAAAGATGGTGGTGAATTTCTGGCTAAGAAACTGACTGTGTTGTTTGCAAAGGTTTGGGAGGAAGAAAGTGTTCCAACACCATGGAATGAGTCGATAGTCGTCCCTATCCTTAAAAAGGGTTCACATTGTTCCTGCAATAACTACCGGGGGATAAGTCTATTTCCGATTGTTTCCAAATTATTGGCTTCTATTATTCTTCGTAGGTTGTTTAAAACCCGAGAACGATTGACTCGCGAGGAGCAGGCTGGTTTTCGTTCTGGTCGAGGATGCATTGATCACATCTTCACCCTCCGCCAAATGTTAGAACACCGTCATACTTATCGCAGGCTAACAATCGTAGTGTTTCTTGATACCCTCATTTGGTCCTAGTTATTCGGTGGACACTCTTAAAGTTACTTTGGCGTCGCTCAAAGGTCGTCCACAAATTATAATCTCACTGTTGATCTGTATAGTCCTAGGCAATGAATGTTTATCTTGCGGTAAGGCATTTCAGTCATTGACTACATGGTAAGAAAAAGCGAACCACACCCTGACTTTATGAGTTCGCGGTTTTTGAACCCTCTTTCTGCGGCCTCGGAGATGATTAGTTCTGCGGGGAGTAAAATGATGAGACATATTAACACTCAAGTCGTCAATAGAGACATGGAAGGTAGATGTAAGGTCACCTGATGTTCTACGATACGATAAGGGAGAGAGGTTTAGGGTTTCAACCTTCATTGTAAGAGAGCTTGAAAGTACCCTTCACTAACTTCGTTCTCACACACCGAACACGCTTGAGTTTGTTAGTATTCTTAACAACACTTAAACTGGCTGTCTGGGTGCAGTACTTCAGGTGTGATCTTACATAGGTGGAATGTAAGATCTGAAACTTCGTCAAACCATTCGAATGCTCGGTCAAGTGACTGTAACGCTTGAAAACCTTTGGCGGTTGCTGCATTGCAATGCTCACTTGTTTTTAAGTTGTGGCGTACTGTTATCCCTAAGTCTTCGTGTTAGTGCACACTTCGAAGCGATGTATGGTTAGTGGTATACTGGTAACTAACCGTGGCTCGTGACTTCAATGCTCAAGTAGGTAAACTAAGCGAAAGAGAAAGACACCTGGGTGGATCTTATGGTGTGCTGGCTCAAAGAACAGATAATGGCGACCGTATGTTGCAGCTATGCTCCGATAACCGCCTGTTTCTTGCAAATACTAACTTTAAGCACAAGGAAAAGCATCTTTTGACATGGCGACCCCCGAATTCGTCCCAACGTTGGACCCAACTGGATCACATCGCTATCAGCCGCCGATGGAGGAGCTCGATAGAAGGCCGTCGCTCATTCTGGAGCGCATGTTTAGATTCAGATCATGCTCTAGTGCGAGCACGTATCTATCTGCGTCTTACTGGAAGTAGGAAAGACACTGCAGGGAAGCCTCTTAGGGTTTTACTTAATGATAGGCAAGTTAAGAACAACTAGAAAAACAGTTAGGCAGCCATGTAAGTTGTGTCCACCCCGAGGCAGCGTCGAATGACATCTGAAAAGCTATGGAAACAGCAGTGATATCTGCTATTACGGTAAACCATAACGTTAGGTAGAAACACTGGATCTCGGCAGCATCTACCGCACTGATAGATGCTTGAAAACTCATCCCATCTGGCTCTGAACATAACAAAGAGCGGAGTCAGCTTAAGCGCAAGCTAATAAGAAGCCTACGCAATGATCGTAAACAGTGGTGGGCAACGAAAGCAAGGGAGATGGAAAAGCCAACAGCAGACAACTGTTCAGACTTGTTAAAGAAACAAGTATTAGGAACCCAATTGTCAGTGCAACCAACTCCAGACCATGTGCATACCTTTTAGCAAGGTCATTTTCTTTTGACTCTTCCAGATTCCAAATAATTAAACTATAAGTGGACTTGCCGTCTTTGAAAGTTGATTAATTTTTTTGTTAATGCACTACATGTTTCTATATGGTGGTTTTGTTCCGTAAGATACTCGTGATTTCCTAAGTAGGCTAATTTTACCAAAAGGCAATGGAGAAATTATTAGTATCGAAGTATTATATAATGTGAAACATTAATCTCAATGTATATTTTTATTGATTTTTACTTCTTAGATTCTTATCCAATATTTCTTCGCATTCTATTCTTTTACTTATCAACTATCTATAAATATATAATTTTAACTTTGTTATTTTTACTGTTCTCCGAGGTCGAAGATGAAATTCAAACTTTGCGACAAGTTTTATTATCTAAATTTCGTCGGCAGCAGTTTTTAAAGCGTCAGCTTGGGATAACACCAATTGAGGAATTAAAGAGTGAAGTTAAACAAGGTTTAGATACTTTACGAACCAGTGATGCGTAAGTCTATTAGTTATTCACTAGATTTCTCTTAATGTATTATTTAGGCTTATCCTTTTTTTTGCCTAACCCTGCCTGTTGAGTTCAGAACGCTAATATCAGCTTCCACTGTACAAATCATTTATTTCAGATATACTCAGTTTATATACAGGTAAACTAGATCATATCATGTCATAAAATAGAAAATAACATATGTACAATATCAAGCGAAAAAAAGTTGTTATGATTATGAAAGACCGTAATTAATAAATTAATTATTATCCTTAAGAATATTAAATTGTATAATAGTTATAGTTCATAGGTCCAAATAAAGCTTATAATCATTATTATATTGAAAGTTAATAGCCAGAAGTTACATTGAATAATTTAATGTAACAAAAATTCATCTTTTAATCATCAATTATATTTGAAAATTGTACATGGTTAACAATTTCACTTATCACTTCAATGATAAATAATGATTTATGGAATTTACTATAGTTGAAAGCGTGAGTCAATTGAAGCTAGACCACCATGGAAAACCTGGAAACACTGGACGGCCGTTTCGTCCTATTATGGGACTCCTCAGCAGTGCGCATCCACGCTTTCAACTATAGTAAATACTAAATCTCCACAAAACCCCTTCTATAATTTCTAGAATTATTTCTATCTTCTAATAACCCTTCTAGATATTTGAAAACATCAGCCGTTGTAAAAACTGCTAAGGATAAAACATCAGCTGTATTCATTGAGAAATGGAATTTATTACGGTATGTTTTATTATCCGATGAATTTCTTGGATTTTTATTACATTTAATATATGTATAGGAAATTTTTATTTAGACATTATCATTAAGTAGAAGGTAAAAGAATGTGTAGTAACATATACGTATAATTGGTAGATATGTTAAGGCTACATATTTTATGATGGTGGAGAAGATTTGTAGCTCAGGTAGGTGATTTTGATGTTGGTTTGTTCTCTGAGCTGGATGGCTGAAACCCAAATAGATAGGTATGAATTTATGACTTCGTGGATAAGCCAGTGCTCCCATTGGTTATTGCGTGTGTTTTTATTTAAGAGACACAAGGTTTTATAATATGATCACAAACATGTAGTGTGCTAGTTGTCTACACTGTTATTCTTCTGCTTTCTATCGATCCTATCTCCCAGGCAAGTTAGGTTTCATCTAATGCCATATGGTGACATAACTATATATTGTACTTATCTAACAGAATGACCAAAATCAAAGTAAGCATGACTCAAACTGTATTCGATCTCTCATAATCCATATTAGAAGATTGTAAAAATCATACACCTAGCCATTTTTATTCAATTCATAAATGGGTGTATTAATTCAGTCGTATACTAGGTTGGGGAATCTAAAAAAAACATTCCTTAAAATGGTTTCCTATCGACAATTGCTTGTGTTGATTTTATCACATCAACTCCTTGTCATTGTTCTATCAAAATATATGAAAGGGACTAATTGCTTGTGCGTTAGCCAACGTTTTGGTCCAGTAAGAACTCGTTTTGGAGGACTCATGATGATACATACATATATTGCTGCTTGTTCCTTGTCTTCCATTACTGATTTTTCTGAATGGAGTAAAAGGTGAGTTTTGAAGGAAGCTTTCTCATCTTCAGAAATCTAGAAGTTCAACACTAGTAATCCTAGAAGTAGGTATCCTAAATCAAGCTCAAAAGCATTTATGTAGGTCTTTTGGTGTTCCAACGAACAGAAAAGATAACTGTCTATTTGATACCTTCTTGTACCAATGTTTATGTGTTCAAATAATTAATAATAATATCTTATAAGATTGCCTTAATTATTGTTAACGCATAAAACTTTCGTTTCGATAACGTTGTAAAAGTAACATACATTATTTCTAGGTTTATGAGTTCTTCTCTATTGTATATATACAATCAATGAGTACTAGGCTATGTTCAGACAAAGAGTATATGTAAAATAAAGATGATATTTCAGTAAAGGGAGATTATTACTCTGTTATTTTAAGGATATGTGCAAAATTTAACCACCAATTAAGTATGACTAGAGTTAAGTTCATTCACAAAATGACCTTATTTAACCTTTCCAAATTATGAATTCTTTTAGTAACTATGTTTCAGATAGCTAATTGTATACTTCAAAGCTACATCTGTCGATCATTATTTTTAAGCGTTTTTATACATAGAAATAAATAGATACGTTGACAGTAAATAGCCCGGGCTATTCGTAAGTAAATAAGTTGCAAATACATGAATTTAATACCCTTAACAAAGATACTGAAATAAATAATTTAGCTTCTGCGCAAAACAAATATCCTTCAGCCTACCAAAAAACTCCTGTAGCTCTTCTAGAGTTACTGCCAGTCCCAAGCCCGGGTAAAGGAGAAGGGTTGGGCATGGGGTTAGCGACCCCATCTTGTAGAAAATCTAACTCGCTAAAAAACGCTAACCAGAAAAAAATAATTCAAACCATTTAAACTCTGTCCTGGGAGTTGAAGGAATAATTATGACACCTCATGATGAAAGCCGAAATTTTTCGGAAGTCACGAGGCCGATGCACCTTCTAACAACCAGAGCAAAACTCTTTATGAGAGAGGACAAACCAACTTCCATCTGAAGAGGAAATTAGGAAAAGACGTTGGAAGTGGATCGGGCATACATTAAGGAAATCACCAATGTGCATTACAAGGCAATCCCTAACTTGGAACCCTGAAGGGAACCGGAAAAGAGGAAGACCAAAGAACACATTACGCCAGGAAATAAAAGTGGATATGAAAAGGATGAATGTTAACTGCAAAGATCTGGAAATGAAGACTCAGGACAGAGTTGGATGGAGAATGCTGGTGAGCGGCCTATGCTCCTCGACGAGGGGTAACAGGCATAAGTAAGTAAGTACCAAAAAACACGACCAAACCAATGGATAGATAATGATCTTAAAGGTTGTACAAATTATTAAGCCATAACATGTAGAAAGTTGACATATTTTCATCGGTAAACTGACAGGTTAATGCAATTGAATAGGAAAACAATTTGATTGAATAATTATGTACTAAGATAAACATGTTTTAGTTTAATAGCTTCTTTGAAACATTGTAGACAAACTAGTACATACAAATCTTTGGAGAACAAAGTGGGTTCAGCGTGTTACAATGTTTACGTAAGTGCCAGATTATACCTGATAAAATTATATAATCGTCAAAACGTATTTTTAATTTTTCGTTACTGGTTTTATAGTATGATTTAAGCTTTCTGAAGTTGATCCAGATAGCTTCAGATATGTAGAGGGGTTGTAATCTATCTAGCTCCTTGAAGTTGAGGACCGCTTTTTGATGTAATTTTTTCCATCCTTCTGTAGAATTCCTCTAGTTTATGTTGTGTAAGTTATCCACATACGTGTTTGTTTCAATGTTCAGACAGCTTGAAGGATATCTTCATTCGATAACCAAGTAATTGTTTGGTTATCCACTCAGGCAATTGAAAACCATGCTGTATCTGTTAACAACGAACTTTGCAGCTTTCTGTCTTCACTTTTGGTCAACTACATAAATCATCTTTTTATAAATCCAGTTCTACTTGGATTTGATGAAAAGTAATGTTGTTTCCCCGTATTATATCTAAATTTTTTATAGGATGTAAAATGGCATATGTTAAATTTCCCGATCAGCTCTACTGTGTTACCATTTTTGCCAACATTTTTATGAACCTATAATAACAGAAAGACTGGACTGAACAGTCGTTTATATTTTTGAAGAATTCCACGGTGTTGTAAGACTATAGTCGAAGTAGTGGCCAGTAGTGAAATCCAGGACGCGTGTTTCGCCCTGTTTGTGACTCGTCAGCTGGATGTACTAGGGTCAACATCAACTCTGAGATGCAGGTACATCCAGCTGACGAGTCCCAAATAGGCCGAAACGTGCGTCCTGGATTCCACTGCTAGCCACTATCCGTCATTGCTTGAGACTTCAGGTAATATCGAGCAGTCCGCGGAGGATGCTCATATGCCAACAAGAGACAGCCCTAATTAACAATGTGAAGATACAAGTAAGCAACACCAAGTGAGTATAGTCGGAGTAGTTCGATCTTGGAAAACCCTATTTACATTGGACTTTTTCCGACCTTCAGTTTTGGATGTAACTTAAAGATTAGGTGGATATTGTTCCAAATTTTCAAGCGTAATATTTATGCAACGCTAGTTGCCATCCATTTTTTCTTGTTATTTATCTAAATCTCTATATCATTCTGGAATATGGGTATTAATACTGCTCCTTATTAGTAAGCTCTATTGAGGATGATAGTTACATCGGGAATCATTTAGTGTTTAGTTTATGAAATTTATCCCTTCTGTTCAATGTAATCTAAAGTGTCTGATATTTTACATTTTATTACATGTTTATAAATGTTCTCATTGTTTTTTCCTTACAATTTGTTTCTCATTTCATTGTCTGTTCTTGACTACCTGAACCTGTAAAGCTGATTTCATGATCTCCAACAACAACTAAACTATTCCAGTGTCAAAAAAGGAAATGTTCTTAGATCAGTAATCTTTATGAAGTGCTTACTTAGACTTTGTTCAATTACTTTTGTCTATACCTTTTTAATTGGTCGAGAAAACCTTCTTTCTGGAAGTTAAGTTGTTGCAGTTAATAAGTTATGAACACTATATACGTCTTGCAATAACCCTGCATTGCACTCAGTTTACTGTAAAGATAACGTACTAATAAGCTTGATTTGCATTTGTAAGATTTCTATCGTGGGTTTAACAATACCGTTGCTTGGTGAATGATTTTAGGTTTAAACAAAGAAGTCAACTGATTAGGTTCGGAATTATTATTAACTAAAGTCCCACAAGTGTGCATTATAAGCCAGAGGCTATCCTAATTTGCGATCCCATTTAGAGTTGAAAGAGTCAGATGAAAACGCGAGTCACGAAGACCTCAACCTGGTTGTCTATACCTGCCAATATACCTCTGACAAAAAGTCAGTGACTTTATGGACTGATACCATTAGATATCCTCCCGCTTACTTCCTACCTACTGCTCCACGAGTAAACATTACCTGTTGAGGTAAAGGGTAATTGGATAAATGTAACACATATCTCAACTATTTCAGTCGATAGCAGTTCATTTTCAAAATGTGACAAACTCACCCATTGGTTCTCAGCGGCATGCTAAAATCTTTGGTTAAAACCTTATTTAATCTCAGATCAATGTTGATGAAATTACCATCGCTGTATATTTTCATTGTCTTCCTCATAAATTTAAACATCTTATTACTTTATTTATTTATTTTCTCATTTTGTTAGTCTCAATTTTTAATACTATCAGTATAGGATTGTGAAGATTGTTGAGTCTCATCGAGATCATGAATTGATCAATGTTCGACTACCATTAAAGACCTGGAAGCACTGGACAGCCGTTTCGTCCTAGTATGGGACTCCTCGGCATTGTGCATCCACGATCCTGCACACGGGGCTGGAACCCAGGACTTTCTGTCTCGCACGCGTACACGTAACTTTTAGACCACTGAACCATCATCCAACGATGCTAATGTCTAACTTTACACAATCCACGATATTGTGCGCCGATCTTCCATTGTCTTCGGTAGATAACCACCTCACACTCGGCACAGATTGAATTCCACTGATCACAGCCATTCATTAGAACTCTGAGAATTACCTCTCGAAGTTAGACACAAGAGATTATCAATATAGGGTTGTAGAGATTATTAATCGATTAATGTTGGATCACAATTGAAAACATTGAATTACTGTACGATCATTTTGTCTCATTTCACCAACTTGAACTGTTGAACAAAATTTATTTCATATTATCATATATGCTTATTCTTCATCATATTGTAATACAGACTATTTAAACTACATAATAAACACATCAAAATCTTCTACTTAAATATAAAAAAGGTTTTGTTTTTGTTTTTTTAAATAAAAAAAACTTTGTCAATCATCCATTTCATTCACATACCCATCTGGTTACACTGTATTACTAAGCTTATTTTATAAATATTGATCTATATAGTAATAATTCTTTCGAAATTGTTCCATAAGTTGATTTAATACCTGTTAAATTGTTTCTTACTATATAGTTGTAGTATCAGTTTATATGTTAAGCCCATATACTTTATTCTAGCTACTGGCCAAGCCAATTCGCCTATCCATTATTAGTCATATTTTGATCTTGTTAATCATTTGCTTATTAACCTTGGCTATACTTTTATATGAGCATATATGTGTACACTTCGTATCTTATTCATCATATGTCTGTCATTCATTTTTGTCCGACTATAATTGTTGATTAACGCTTGCTTAAATCGAATTGGCTTCCCAGTCAACTCCACTGTATGTCATTTCCGCCTCGTTCGCTTCCTTCGCTTATTCGCCTGTTCACTCGCTCGTTATTATTCGCTCAGGTGTTGTTAACTTTCTGACCTGAGTTATTCGACAATAAACTGTAGTTGCTGCTATCCTTTGTCTTTTGATTTTACGCGCCGTTAAGATTAGAATTATATCGGTTATCGAAACGAACGATTAACGAATTGCGGCACTACATAGTCATTGCTGTAAATTAAATGTTTTGTTTCTGTTTTTCTCTTTTTTGAATTAATCCGCCAATATAGTTTCAGTCTTTGTTTTGTCTCTTGTGTATTTCATTTGATTTTTGTATAATATTTTTACACTTCATACTGTAGTAAACAAGAATACAAGTAGAGACAGTCGAACGTATTTGAATACAATATTACAGAATCTCTCAATAAAATTTGAGAACCATATAGTGAATACTTCATTTGCATAATGTCAATCAATCGTCTTCATTTCCATAGCAATCTTTCTTTGATCTTGTTAACCTTCTGCTTTTAGGCATTTCACTTTCATGTTATGATACATACTACTTATATTTGTTGACATCAGTAGCACATAACACAATACTAGTAGGCAATTATTCATTAGACCATCAAATCTTCAAAATTATTCAAGTTTAGCTTATTTTTTTATTTATTTATATTCTCATTTAGTTACTTAACCACCTGTATTATGATCTAAGCATTTTTTCTCTACCGATTAACTTCTATTCGTTCAATCTTAATTATATAATTAATTACAATTACTTGCATCATTAATTGTAGCCTCATCTCTTTTTTATACGACTAAGTCTTCTTTGTGTGATATCAGTTTCCACTACAACATTCTTTTCTGTTTGTTTACAGAAACATTCACTTCATTTTAATTAAGTTAAATAAATCACATCTTTATTTCTAATCACTTATAATTCGTTGTTAATTTCAACTGTTAACGATTGAATGGAAAGCGTTGAAATGAGTTATATTGTTATATCCCCTGACGAATTATGAATCATAAATCTGAGGTCTATTTATGAACAAATGTAATACGCCTATTCCGAGATGGTGGAGAAGATTTGTAGCTCAGGTGGGTGATTTTGATGTTGGTTTGTTCTCTGAGCTGGGTGGTTTGGTCGTGGAGCTTTCATCGTCCTTCTGAACGACATCATCAGCAGAAACTTCGGGTAGTTGTTAAATAAGTGACCTAAATCTGAGGTCTATTTATGGACAAATATAATATGCCTATTCCCTATTGGATAGTTGTTAAATAAGTGACCTAATCGTTTCCGTATTCCTCTTATCATAACCTTTATTTTGATCTTGGAACTATTATTATTGATTACTTTCCCCCTAGCTACAGCCACATTGGCCAATTACTGTACAAATGTTATTTTCCCTATTTTTGATATATGTGGTCTGTTTGGTTAATATATATTAACCCAGTATGCTTGTGAATAATGATTCATATTGCTGAGGCTGTTATTTGTGTTCTGGACTCAACTGGCTGGGCTAGGCAGATAGGAAGGACTGAATAGCACCCAATACTGTTCGTACGTATTTTCTATATCATTGGACATATATATATATATAAATATTAAGAGGCCAAAAATCTATACGTTATAACATATATATTCAATGTAAAGTGTTTAATTTCTTTTAAATGTACCTAAATTATCGTTTAGAACAATAACTGGAATGTATATACATGTCTAAGTTTTATTTCACTTTTCAGGGTAAATTAACACGTCCTAAAACATTATCAAGTGGTACTGAACAAATTAGTCATTCTGAAGTAAGTCATGTTTTAATGTCTCATAACGTACTACTGTTGTCTATCAATCATTCAACTTATCTATATAATTTAATGAATAAAGATTTCATTATTGTTATGAATACATTTCAGTACTAATATTCAAATTATATGTGCTCTTAGTATTCATCTTTTATATCAATTGTAATCACTGTAATATCTCTACATTTTCAGAGGTAGTTTAAGTGAAAAAAAGTATTTGTTTGTTGGGTAATTAGTATTCGTCATTTTTACTGCTTGAATTTTGTCATTGTAAAAGAAAATAGTCCATAAAAACTATCCTTGAAAGTCCACCTTTGTATCATCAATTGTAACTTAATGTTATTTGTAGTTATATATGATAATGAGGAGTATTTGAATTATAGTATAAATTGGGAATTCCAGAATTAACTCAATTTCATCAAGAATTACTATATGAACATGAACTAATGTATTGTATTTGGAATTGGAAATCAAGCAGTTATCAAGTACAAATGAATCATTGGTTCATATAAACACCACATTATGTTATGTTTGTTCTTTTTTTAAATCATTTATTCACCGCGCATATATAAGCTTAGAAATATTGAGTTCGTGCGTTGAATATATTTTGATCTACAATATGTTTATCTGATTGAAGTTACTTCAATCGCATATTATGAACTCTTATCCACAATATCCTTTAATTTTATGAATACTATCCTGGCCTTCTTCCTGATATGTCTCGCCGATTGAACGCTTTATTCGTTTCCTAAGCTATTCTAGTAACCCACAGGCTAGAACTACTCACCGACTTGAACACCAGAGAGAAGGCGCAAGTATGAGAGAAAACACTTTACTCCAGGATTCGCTTTTGTACAGAAAATCATGGGTATTTATAGATGTTAGCGTTTGCCAAATCAGCATCATATTTCAGCCAATCCGTTAAACGACATTTTATGCTACCGACCAATAGTAGCACTCCACGTTGAAACTCTAGAGTGTTTCATCATACCCTGATTGGCTAGGGCTCTTCGGCTCCTCCTGGAGGCTCTGTTGAAGTTCTCCGGAAGCTGACTCAACACTTCCTCTAAAACATAATATTCATTCAACTATTTTGGATCCACATAATATTATATTTATTTTCAAAAAGCAACTCTCCATCCCCTTCAAATAACACTTCTATTCTGTATTATATTGGCCATCATTTTACCTATCACTTTATAGTAATTTGTCTTAACTTTTATTATATGATCATTTAAATACTTTTTCAGTAGTTAAACTATGATGAAAGGGAAATCCACTTTGCTCAATGTATAACACTAAATAATCCATTAAGAATTTGATAGATTTATAATTAAAAAAGTTGAAAATTAAATAATCGGAAAATAGTTGTTTTGTTTAATCACATACAGGTACATCCAGCTGACGAGTCTCAAATAGGATGAGACACGTGTCCTGGAGTCCACTGCTAGCCACTATCCATCTTAGCTTATATGTCACTTGTAATTGTTTGAATCTGAGATGTTTTTTTTCTACAGATCATAACGTAGCGTTTTGACAATTCATTAAACTCTTTCCGCACTAAAAAAATGTTCAGACTGTGCTAGATAGTTGGAAGAAGTCAGCAAGAAACTCTACACCTAGGTTCGTGCTAGTTGACAATTAAAGCCGACATGGGAATTCGGGTGATTTAATTCTTCTTGTGTAGTTCAAACTCATGTAACCATTCAGCTATTATGCCCACTACTGATTTCCTATATGATTAGAGCTTTTAAATTGTTTAGTCACTATTTAGTAATCAACTTACAACTTCATCAATAAAATTCAGTCATTATTATAAGCTAGACAGACATAACATTAGTTGTTTTCAATGATCGGTTAATGTAAACTCACAGCATACATCTTTTGGAATGAAGGTATTTCTATACTTCTCTAATTGTTACAATTCAAATATTTTCAATAATTAATTTTTGTTTAACTTTATATACTCATTTTCTTGTACAAACAGAACACTACGACTACTACTACTACTACTTTCGGAGCAGCAGATATCACAAAGAAATCATGTAATTTAGGAACAAATAATAATTCAGTTCCTCAATCTGTATCAGTTATATCATCATCATCATTGTCGTCGTCGTCATCGTTCAATCCCAATAATTCGAAAAGCAATAATTACGATGAGGATAATATAGAAATAAATGGAGATGATTCCATTGATTTCGATAAATTACTTAATGATGATATGTTATTACATTCAAATAGAATAGATAATAAGAAATAATAATGAAGACCATAAATCTTAACTGTTTCACATTATCATTGAATATCCGGTTGTGTATTTCTTATGTTATTCAACTTCATTTTGACTTTTGTTTCCCCTTTTTCTCTGTGTGTGTGTGTGAGAGAGAGAGTGTGTGTGATAAATCTACATCTTGTTTTTTTAGGATTAATACAACATATCATATTTTTTTGGTATTTGTGACGTTAACTGTGATCCCGTTCACAATTTTTTGTTCATTAGGATCTACATACATTAAATCTTCTTTTTTTATGATCTAAATAATTTATTTGTATTAACAACATTTTTGTGTTTATACTATTTATAAATATCAATCATCTTATATTGTTGACATTTTATGGTGTTTGTGCTCTTCATTGTCTTATACGGTATACCGATTGTAAACTAAAGTTATAGAACAGTGGATAGTATCAACGACTATAATCTATTTCTCATAATAAGCATCACCATAATTCTATGCCAATACATGTTTTTCGGAGTACCGCGCGAGGAAACGTGTGCGCGAGTCCGTGATTCCGTGCATGCTAAAATCGGCTTCTGCGTAGCAGAACCAGGACTCCATATTGTCGGGCCAAAATGGTGTTAACTAAATCGAAATAGGGGGAATAGACTTAAACTTAAGAACCTTAGGAGAGTGTTCCGTCATAGTAATATAGATATCGAAAAATGTCTAAGTAAAATATATCCGAGAAAAAAAACTGCGAAAAAAAGGTATATCACAATATATAAAATTCAAATAAAGAATAACAATGAATAATAATATTCCAAAATGGAACAGACTCACAGTATATTGACTTGGTGTACCAGATCACGTCGGGTTCACCAATGATGATGCAACGGATATTCTAGTTTTACAACTAGATACCAGTAGCACCTCCTAAATTCGATTGTTCCCAGTCAGACGAGAAGAGGTAGGAAAGATATATTTGATTCGTTACCAATATATCGAGGACCTTTTCTATGAGCTGGCTAATGAAACGTAGGAGCTGTGTCCCACGCCGAGTCGAAACGTGATCTGGTACGGATGCATGACCGAAAGCCTTCAGCTAAACAAGTCCACTTCAACACGTGGTCAGCATCCAATGTCGAACACTTAATGAGCTATTGATTTTGGGGAATTATTTACAGCTACAGGAGGCTTGTATAGATAGAACGACTGCTCAGTGAATTTTAAGAATTTTTTCCAGCTTCTATTGTATTTGGTCAACATGTCGGTAATGTATAGTCAAGTCATTGATACCTAGAATTCTCACCATAGATTTTCCAACATTCTTCATCACAATCCCTACGACAATATGTAACTTCTGCAGACTCCAAACACCTCATATTTGAACGAACACTTCTTCCTTTTAATAGCTTTGATGGAGTCTCTTTCGTCACAGAATGTTCAGCATTTCTTTATTGAAGTAGAAATGTATCTACTACCCTCTCCAGTTCATTAAATGTTGAAGCAGGAATAGAATCAATAACATTTTCAATGTCCTGACAAAATTTTCTGTCTGACCATTAGAGCAAGAGTGCCTGGGAGCAGTAAACAAATATCTGCACCCTATATCATTCAACCAATTAGTGACTGCATCCGCAGCGAAATGAGAGCCATTATCAGTCACTAACACCATGGGAAACCCTTCTCGACTAAACACTTTCCTTAATGCTAGAATTGTGAAGTCGGAATTTGCTGATAACTACAATTGCATAGTATTTGCCAAGAAATGAACCACAAAAGACTGCATGAATTCTCTGCTAGCTCTCAGACGATACTGGCCATGGAGTCCACTTCGAAGGCTGACTTTTCAACTTATGACATTTCTCACAATTGTTTGCTGTACGACATATATCTGCATTTATCTCTGGCCACTAACATGTGAGCCTTGCCAAGAACTTCATTTTCTCAACACCCAAATGTCCACTATGATGATCTTGAAAGATGGATTTGCGTAATGAAAGAGGAATAACAACACGGTCATTTAGACACAAAATACCATCAGGAGTAGTAGGCAACTCATCCCGCTCTGGAAAATAAACAGGATATGTACGTTTCAGATCAGTATTCCGTATAGCACTGAGTATATACCCAAAGTCTCTAGGAGTGTCTCTAATGAGATCTGGACGTCTCACTAGTAAAGGTCGCACTAACAAACAGTCTGAAATACTAGCTGATCTATCTTGCAATGATTGTCGAGAAATGTAGTCTACGTGTTGAATTTGTTTAGCAATCCTGTGCTGAACCATATAGTCATAGGCACTCAAAGCAATACTCCAACGTTGAGCCATAGCAGCTGAGGGACGTGTTAAAGATTTTTCAGGGTGATAAATGAACTTTAAATCTTTACAATCAGTAAGAATAATAAACTTCGTACAAAATAAATATTTATGAAGTCTTTTAACAGCCCAAAACACAGCTAATGCTTCTCACTGCGTTTATAAATAACCTTGTTCAGTGACAGTAAGCTTGAGTGAAACGCAGATAACTGGTCTAGCTTCCTGCTACAAAACGGAACCACTATTCACAAATGATGTATCACTAATAAGCACAGAATGTACACTGGGTAATTCCAAAGAACAGCATCAATTTGAAGGAACTTTAGCAGACTTCTTAGGCATGACTCTTGTTCCTCACCTCATTTGAATGAATTGGATGTCAAAATATTAAATAAACGGTTGGCACGACAAGAAAAGTTAGGAATAATATGGGAACAGTGTTATGAATTAATAAAAAATAAGACGTGTGCTAATTCGTTATTGATCTTATGTCCGGTTTTTATTATTCCGTGAATTATCGACCAATCGAAATACTAGTTTTCGAATAATAACACTGACAAATCAATGACGTTCGACCAGTATGAGTAGTCTAGCGTCCTTATTGGTCCTTTGTCCACCCAGCCCTTCCAATCGAGTCCAGAACACCAAATACGGTTTCACCTATGCGGATCATTTGTTTCAAGCATACTGGGTTTATTTACCAGACAAACATCACACCATAAAATAAGAAATAATATTCGTACACGATCAAGCCGAATGTGGCTGTGAACGTGGGAGACAATAATCAATAAACTGAATATAATTTAGGAACAGTAATTCGTATAATAATAATCCACAGATCAAAATGAAGCTTATAATAAGATGGATATAGATATACAGAATGTAATTACTCAATAATTAAACAATAAGAATATATGTAGAATAATCGTCCATTAATAAGTCCTGGAAGTTACCTGTTGTGGGAAGTAGTTTAACGTCGTGTACTATATTACACCTACATAACTTATTCTAGTTTTCATCTTTTTAATTATTCGTTTGTTAACCTTGACTATTTTTTATATGAGCGTATGTGTGTGCACACTTCATATCTTATTCATCATGTATGTCATTCATTTTTGTCTGACTATAAATATTGATTAATTCTTGCTTATAACGAGTTGGCTTATCAGCCATCTCCAATACGTGTCATGTATGTTTCGCTCGCTAACATTTGCTCATGTGTTCACAGCTTTCTGACCTACGTCATGTGTCAATAAAAATGTAGTTGCTGCTTCCCTTTGTCTTCTGATTCTATACACCATTAAGACTTGTATAATAACGGTTATCGAGGCGATCAATTAACGGAGCACGCCACTACATAACTGGTAATTCCGACTCGCGAACACGTAACACTGTATTTATTTCTTCACTAGGACATAACAAATAGTACTGACGAGCACCCACTGATGAACTTAGTTCTGTGAGATGTTTTGGAGACTGTACATTTGTCATCAGAGCTAGTCGTTTCATATATGGTCTAAAACCATTACCATCAGCTATGTATCCAAAACACTCGAAACTAGATACAAAAAATGAACACTTTTTGAACCCACTGTAATATTCTTCACAATTAAATGACATAATAAAGCAATAAGTCTTCGGTCATGAACTACCTTATCAGTACCATGAACATAAACATCATCTTGATGAATTTCGGTATCACTGACTACATTATTCATTACATCGTGGAATATGGCTGGGGAACAACTTGAACCATATGGAAGGAAGTTGTATTTGAACAAACCAGTTTCTTGTTGAATCACGTTTCATATTTCCACGAGGATAGAAATCACTATTAAACGAACGCAAATTTGATCGACCCGGAGATGGTATTTCATCATGACGACTGGAGACTGAAAAACAGTCATCAATACAAAGAAATCATTGGTTCGTAAAAACACCACTCCCTGTCACTAAACACACCAATGGAAGTGAAGTCAAGTACTAGAGACGTTACTTGCGTAAAGTCAGGAATGCGGTACTATGTAAGGGTATCGAATCGATTGTTCAGATGTTAAGTCTTCACCAACTGGGGTAGTTGGGAAGTGTGCTATTTATGCTTCACCAACTCTTGTCTCGACGGGCAATGTTGTCTGGTGTAGAAATAGGATGAAAGCAAGCTAGCAGCAGCCAAACTAGAACACAGGACCAGTCTATGAAGTCTTTGATGATTGGACTGAGACATGTCAACCGGTCTATATTGTTTGGTTAAGGTATGTGAGACCATCGAAACCAATGTTTAGAAATTATAAGCAGAAACGAATGGTGGCTAGCAGCAGAATCCAAGACGTGTGTTTCACCCCATCGCATAATGGTTAGAGACCTGGATGGAACAACTCGACATCTACTGCGATATACTACTTTCACCATTACTACTTCAACTACGGTGAGATTCTGATGGAGTTTTGTTCTCTGAGCTGGATGATTTAGTCGTGGAGCTTTCATTGTTCTTCCGAACATTATCGGCAAAAACGTCTAGTGAAAGTGACATATTCAAATTTCTTTGCATGTGGTTCACATCTTCTTCTGTAGACCTCAATGTTGATTGGTCCTTGTTGACCTTAAGCTTGTCATTGTTTACTTCTTTATTTTGGTTATATCTCCGACTGCTTTGATTTTTGGTTCTATGTTTGCATATGATTTTCCTGATTGGTTGATAAATTGGATCGATTTCAATGTGC